GACTGGTACTGGTAGTAATTTTGTACATCTGTTTCATCCCTGATCAGATTCAAGGGGCATTTTGCCTTCCGGTTCCCACAGAGCCCATGGGGCATCTTTAGCAGCCGAAATAGCCAGAGAAGCAGCAAAGGTTTCATTCTGGCTCCAGCTCCTCATCCCCTGTGGCACCTCTGATGCCCTGAGCCAGCCAAGCAGAATAATCCAAAGACTCATGCAAGACGAAAGCTGCAGTGGCTTTCCCAATCTGGGCAATGTTCAGAGGTGTTAAGCACCATGTAGACATATCCCTGCTCCCCTCAGCCTTTCACCTGCACCAAATCTTGGAGAAATCTGTCGCTTTCTGGCACAGGAAATATTCTCTGCACCAACGTTCTTTTCCAGCCACGGTGCAATTAACAACATCACACTGTTGTTGCGCCTGGTGATTAGGCAATCTCCAGAAATATCTCTTGAGCTTCTGGAAGAGGAAATCACTATGATTTCGATAATTGGAAGTGGAAGAAGTCTCACCTTGATGACTTCCGGGAGCCTTGAGTGGCTCAAAGAGCAGATGCGGAGTTATATCCCGGACGGTCCCTGGAAAATAGGGGCATTTGGAGGGTCTGTACATCACATTTGAGGTTTCACTTACCATTCACTCAGCTTGGAGAGTGAAGTGCACAATATTTCCTAGGAAATATGACTGTGCAAAATCAGCCAGGATGACCCCAGATTAGCTTCAGAAATGTCAAAGGACTTGATCAGGTATCCCCTGGGATACAGGCTGCGATAAAGAAATACACGCTGGACATGAAGCCCAAGGGGCTTGTGCCCATTGCTGCTGCTTTAAATCCATTTTCAGCATTTGAGATATATGCAAAATGAAGATCTATGGAGCTAGAATCCCAAGACAACTACGCATGTTGCCTTGGCAAAAGAGGCATGCCAAAACAGGACACCTATTTAGACTGCTAAAGCCAGGAAATCCCCAGAGCTGAGGGACCAAATGTGTCGCTATCATATCCCTAATGGCCCAAGAATGCTGCGTTCAGGACTAAGGTAATTTCTAAATAACGCCCAATGAATGATATGGAAGTTGGGTCTATTAAGATAGTAAAATAGCAGGAATACACAGATCTTTTTACCCAGTAAGAATATAATCAATCAATCTTTACTGGCATGCAGGGAAAACAGGAATATGTAAATTGACACATACAATTGGCATCTGTTTGCAGGAGGACAAAACTTGACAGGCCTAGTAAGGTTAGAAAGTACCCCGTAAGTCTTTTGCCCATGTAGTTTCATGGCTTTTCTCAGATATTCTGCTATTTTCTCCAAACTCTCATGCCCACAGCTCTGATCTTGCCTAGAGGTTTCCCCCAGGCATCTACTTGGCCTCTGGGCTTCATGGCACGTGGGCCTGATCCAGCAGGCTTGCTGGACGTAGCCCTGCTCCGAGTCCCGTGACAACAGAGTGCAAAGCTCGGTGGAACGTTAGGCCAAGCAAACAGGAGACAAGTCTCCATGAACTCTTGCATGAAACCGCATCCGAAGCCAAGCCCGTTCCGAGGGTTGGGCAGACAGCATCCCACGTAGTCAGACAAGCCAGAGGTCAGGGAATGCAAATGACTCTGTCTTCTCCTCCTAGTCTTACAATTTAGCCCATTAACATTCCACGAAATAATTTTAAGATCCATGCAGATTCAATGGTCAGCGTCTTTATTTCAAACAATAATCAAAAATTATATAATGCTTTGTATCCTCCCTTTACGCGTTCCCTCCCACTTATTTCTTCCCACCCCTTTTTATTTTCTGCCTTTCCTTTCAAAGTCTTCCCTTAATACCTTCCCCCCTTCCTTATATCCTTCCTTTATAGGCTTATCACCTAAGAAAACAGTTCAACAATATAATACAGAATTATACATAAAAAGGAAATAGAACAATGCAGTACTATTAGCAAGCTGTGGGGGGGGGGAGGAAACTCACTTTCCTTCTTATTGTAATTTCTTTGACCCCCAGAAGGTCTCGCTGTCTCTTTTCTCAGTTCTTTCTTTAGCTGTCCCTTCTTGCTCGCTTGCTTTCCTCCTTTCCTTCCTCCTCCTTTGGGCATGGGCAGCGTGAGCTAGCGGTTTTTCTACACCATATTGCCCCTTCTTTTCAAGCCACCTTCCAGGATCGTTCCCCTCTCAGTCCTGCCTTCTCCTTCTCCTTCTCCTCCGCCACCGCAGACGCTGTCGTTCTCTCGCACTTCTCCTTCTATAAACCAATAGCAAGAGATTCAGATGACGTTAAAGAATGAGTTTATCAATCAGGTACCAATCAGACCAAAGTGAATGGTCAGAAATAACGTCTCAACTGCGAAAAGAAGAATGGTTGGTGCAAACCCGAAACAAAGTTAATAATTGCATTTCAATGGGTCTGCTTTAGGTTTCATTGCAATCAAGGCGATGAGCTAATAATAATAATAATAATAATAATAATAATATTGCTTTCCCTGGCCACTCTGGGCGGCTCCCAACAGAATATTAAAAGCACTATAATAATCACAGCCACAACATGCATTTAAAGCATTTTTGGAGCTCTAAATGGCAGGTAAAACAACTGGCGGGTGGCCAGCGCCATTTTGGCCTCTGTTGTCCAGGGCGCAGGAGCCGCGGGACGTCGGGAAAAGGGGGAAGCCGTTCTAGGTGCCTCCAAGGGAATGAGGAAAAGGACGAGGTCTCTTCGCGACTTCCTGGGTTATGGGGTTTATTAGTATAATAATTGGTTATTTTTAGTTTATGAGCACGCCTGGAGGAAGGTTGCGCAGGGCAGCCTGGGAAGGGTGAGGGAAAGGCTGTGAGGAAAAGCCTTCTCTCTTTCTCCATCGCTCTGCCCCTCCATCAAGTTTAAATGGAAGAATCCAAATACGTCTAGAGAAAAATAAAATGATAGGAAACAGGATCCTTGTTTGTGAGAAGAAGGGGCAGCAAAGCATGCTGGGAAGAAGGACCTGAGGGAAATGAAACCTAACAAAGGATAATTTACCAATAAAGCTAATAAGTGAAACCTATTAGGTTCAGATTTATTTATTCAGTTATACGCTGGAAAACGGGTAAATTTCAAGTATAGGAAGCTGGATCCATGTTTGTGAGAAGAAGGGGTAGCAAAGCATGCTGGGAAGAAGGACGTGAGGGAATGAAACCTAATAAAGGGTAATTTACCAATAAAGCTAATAAGTGAAACCTAACCAAAGACAATTTGGGATTCATTTATTTAGTTATACATTGGAAAATGAGTAATTTTCAATTATAGGACACAGGATCTTTGTTTGTGAGAAGATGGGGTAGCAAAGCATGCTGGGAAGAAGGACGTGAGGGAAATGAAATGAAACCTAATAGAGGTTAATTTATCCATAAAGCTAATAAGCGAAGCCGAACATAAGACTCCTTGAGATTGAATTATTTGGTTATACACTGGAAAAACGAGTAAATTTCAAATTTATTCATGCTGGGATTCGACCATTGGCCCAACGGAGCTGGCAGTGCATGCTGGGAAGTGTGAACCGTGCCGGTGGAGGCTGGCGGGAATTGCAGGGCCTTTGGAAGGTGGCCCCTTCTCCTCCTCGTCCGCCAGGGACACCAGCGCCTGCAGCCCGTCCAGCTGGCCAGAGTCAAGCAAGGGCCAGAGAGGCTGGCAGGGGGAGGGCCCCCAGGTGAGGCCGGGAGAGAGAGGGGCCCTTGGGGTGGGGGGATCCTGCTCTGGCACTTCCGGGAGGAATTGCACTCTGCACGCCCTCAGAGGCTTCGTAGTCTAAGCTCAGGGGGCTCTCTGAGCCAACCTATCTCTGGGGGGGTGAGGGGTTTCTTCCCATTTGTCAACATCCTTCTTAAATAGTGGTGCCCGGAATTGGACACAGTATTCCAGGTGGGGACTGACCAAGGCAGAATAGAGCTCAGTCTTGTAAGCCACTGGTATTAGTCGCAATAAAAGTAATAATCATCACAACAAGAATAGACTTCGTTAACAAATATTTATGCTGCTTAACTGTGTGTGCATTGCAATCACTTCTTCATTGTTGTGCGTAGTAATTTTAAGTGCATTCTTAATATTACGATCAAGGTGCAATACTTTTAAAATGCATATTTTCTTTAAATATAAACACAGAAATAAATGACGCTCTAAATTCATCGGATGAGGACCTGTGCCACAAACTGGGAACCAGGCAGAGGGGCTTCTCGGTAGTGGTGCCTGCCCTGTGGAACGCCCTCCCCACCTCCTTTCACAATGACTCGCCCAGATTGGCGTAGGCACCCTGCCACTCCCGTGAGCGCCGGAGTTCCCTCTCCCCTCTCTTCCCGCTTGCCTCGCCTGCCCCTAACCCTATCCCTAACCCTGGTCAATGCAATAAAATTCATTGGATACCAGTCAGGGCTTGGCTAAGGTCAGTTGCTACTCTTTGGAACAGGGAGCTGAGCTTACACAATACAGAAATTAAATCAACAGACTACGGAAGATGTCTTAAATGAATTTCTCAGTTTATTGATATACAAAGCATAGAAGAACGAAATGATGTTAAGTGAGCTTATGAATGATAGCGCATAAATGCGGGAAATGGAGCATAGAAAATTGAATACATAGAACTGGCATAACCAAACAGTATTGGGGAATATTAGAATTGATATGGTTAATAGGTAGTCATGACAAAGCAAACAGACTCAAAAACCTAACTAATCTCTCCCTCCAGCCTAACTGGTTGTGAGATAAATATAAGTTCCCAAAACACAAAATTTTTAAAAGATCATAGTTTACAAACTAAGGGCAGTAGACCAGGACTCACTGTAGTCCTTGGCAAAGCAAGGTAGCAAAACATTTCCTCCCATCTTCCTGTTCATGTCAACAGGACTTCCTAAAACCCAGGCTAAGAATGAACACAATCTCTTTCAGAGATGGAGAATAAATAACATGGATGAGCAGGTGTGTTTCCTTTAGGCACTTCTAGACATCATGAACATGGACTATTTTAAGAATCAGATGTCCCCTTAATTCCTTGTTGTCAGGTGCTCCTTTGTGTTCAGATCAGGCCTCAGCACAATAATGTAGCACTTGGGAAGGAAGATGCAGCCCAGGAGCCCAGCACTGGAGGCCAACATAGAGAAGATCTGCACGGCCACCATGTACTTGCCCTTGGTGCTCAGGTAGGTGGGCACAAAAGACACCCAAACACTGCAGAAGACCAGCATGCTGAAGGTGATCAGCTTGGCTTCGTTGAAGGAGCCGGGCAGCTTCCTGGCTAGGAAAGCCACCGTGAAGCAGGTGGCAGCCAAGAAGCCCATGTAGCCGAGGGCAACGTAGAACATGGCCACAGACCCTTCGTTGCATTGCAGGACGATCTCTTCCACCTGGGAGCGCATGTCGGACTCTGGGAATGGGGGAGAAGAGCCCAGCCAGATGGTGCAGATGAGAACTTGCCCCCCAGAACAGGAGATGACCATGGAGTTGGCCAGACTCTTGCCCAGCCATCTCCTCACCCTGTTCCCGGGCTTTGTGGCCAGGAAGGCCAGCACCACCGTGATGGTCTTTGCCAAGACAGAAGAAACAGCAACTGAGAAGATGATGCTGAAGGCCGTTTGTCGGAGAAGGCAGGTCTCTTTCCTTGGGCGCCCGATGAAGAGGAAGGAGGACAAAAAGGAAAGCAGGAGGGAGACGAGCAGGATGTAGGAGAGGTCCCGGTTGTTGGCTTTGACTATGGGAGTTTCCTTGTATTTAATGAAGATTCCCAACACAATGCCTGCTGTTAAGGACAAGCAGAGGGCAACGGAAGCTAAAACCATTCCTAAATATTCTCCATAAGCCAGGAAGATGATAATCTTGGGGACACATTGATCTCTGTCCTTGTTTGAATGGTGATCTTCTGGGCATTTGGTGCAATGTTCTGCATCTGGGGAAGAGAAAAAGAGTGGCTGTAGCATCACTTACATCCCTAATGATCTGTGCTCTATTATGTTTTGAAGAAATCCTAGAGATTTCTTCCTTATGATCATTCCTTTCAACTCTCTTCCAGGATGTAATGAAGGGGATTAATCCTAAAGAAGTTGAGGAAGGAGCCACATTCTACAATGTCTGCAGAATTCTCACAAAAAGTGTGTGAGACTGAATTTCTGCCCTGTGTTTACTCTCTCCAGAAATACCTTCCCCCTTGGAGTCACCCACCTTCCTGGGCGGAGAAGGTCCCTTCCGCACACCGAGCACAAGCATAGCAGCAAATGGGCTTTCCTTCTAGAACCACCTTGGCATATCCAGGTCGACATCTTTCTGTACACCTGGAACGAGGCACGGCCTAACCAGAAAGACAAGAAGGTGCAAGAAAGAGGAACAGTTAGGAATATTTGTGAGTATGTAATTCAGTCATAGGGGCGCGGGTGGCGCTGTGGGTTAAACCACAGAGCCTTGAACTTGCTGATCAGAAGGTCGGCGGTTCGAATCCCCGTGACGGGCTGAACAGCCATTGCTCAGTTCCTGCTTCTGCCAACCTAGCAGTTCGAAAGCACGTCAAAGTGCAAGTAGATAAGTAGGTATCTCTCCAGCGGGAAGGTAAACAGCGTTTCCGTGTGCTGCTCTGGTTCACCAGAAGCGGCTTAGTCATGCTGGGCACATGGCTCAGAAGCTGTATGCCGTCTCCCTCGGCCAGTAAAGCGAGATGAGCAACCCCAGAGTCGGCCACGACTGGACCTAATGGTCAGGGGTCCCGTTACCTTTACCTTAATTCACACATAGAGTGAATTCAAACGGATCTCTGGTCTGCAGCCTTTGACCCCTCATCAGGGTCCTTTCAACCCCACACTGACCATTGGGGCAACCAGAATATCTTGTTCTTCATAATTAGTTCAGGACAACTGAGGTTTGCACCACAGAACCCTGTTTCCTCTTCTCCATTTACCTGCTTCCCTGCTTAATAAATCTTCAAAGAAAATGGCAATGGAGTCTGAAATGTGATTTCCCCAAATTTCAGGATTCTGATAATCTCTCAACCGCTAATTAAGACACATTTAATATTACTTTTCCAAATAGTGGTTTCCCTCACTCTGTTCTTGAGGCATGCAAGGTTTCCTCTTGTTGCTGATCTATTTCCCTAGTTATTTCTAGTTCATATGCCATTCCTTAACATTAACCTTATATTACAATAGGGTTTTTTAAAAAAACTTATCATTCTTCACCAACAGCTGTGCACTTCTTAATTCCTGCACGTACAATAGTTTAACATTTGCAACATCTACAAGTGAGCATACGCCACAAATTTAAAAAATCCACAATAAATCAGTAATTATCATTTCAAAAATAAATTGCTTTCCATCCTTCTGCATGTATGAAAACCCAATTGTTCACTTTTACTAGGTGTTTTCCCTTTTCTTCTACGTAGTCCATTCGGTTAAACATTCTGTCCAGAATTCTTAAATTCTCAGTCTGGTTCGGAAATAGATGGTGTCTTCTCTGAGGACCTCTGGGCTCTATCCTTTCTTTGAGCACCTCAAATTCCCCTCCTATCTCAGCTGCTGTGGAAAGAAGGAGTGGTGGTTGCAGCTGTTATTGGACGGTCAAGACATCATTGATCAACCTGATATAGTCATTTTGCAGCAGTTGTTCAAGGAAAATATATTCAGGATCTCCTAGCCTCCCCTCTCTGTGATTCCCCTTACCTTGTTGAATTTCTTGGGCCACTCAATAGCTTCTGGGTTAATGGTGAACTTTATGCTAGCAGACGGCTCTCTCCTTATATTCCCAATTTTCACAAGGTCACAAGACTTATTGGGAGACATCACCCAGTTCATAATATCGAAGTCTCCTGGCAGCTCCCAGTTCTCATCCAAGCGCAGCCTGCCTCTGGAAGTATTCAGACACCGGATTTCTCTCAAGAAAGGGTGAAGCTGGAATGACAGGGGAAAGCACCAGCACTGAGAAACCTGGAAGCCAAGATGGATATCTCAGTCCTACTCACTTCAACCTCTTATGATTTGGGGCCTGCGTGTATCTCATGTAGACTGGAATTCCTATTCAGCCATTTCTATTACTACAGACCCTGCAAGTGTCCCAGTTTTCCAGGGACATCCCTGAATTAGAGACAGTTTTTCATTTGATCCTGGAATTTCCCACTTTTCCTTAGAATGTCCCTATTTGCATTTGAGAAATGTTGGTGGATGTGGAATTATCCAACCCACAAGCTGTCCAATCCTATATCGGGAATTTTTAAATGTTTAATATTTTAGTATGAATTTCTTTATTTTGGGAGCTGCCCAGAGTGAGGAGGCAACTGAAGAAGATGTATAAACAGTGCTATTTTTCTAGAAAAGAAGGTGCCAGAACTCACCATGAACACCTCCCTCTGAGAATGGCAATGGCACCCACCTGAAAGGTGTCAAAACTGAGTTCCAGCGAGTTCCCCTCTGAAAAAAAGCCCTGGGTATAAGCAGTAAAGGACGCAGGTGGCGCTGTGGGTTAAACCACAGAGCCTAGGACTTGCTGATCAGAAGGTTGGCGGTTCGAAGCTGTACGCCGGCTCCCTCGGCCAATAAAGCGAGATGAGCGCCGCAACCCCAGAGTCGGCAATGACTGGACCTAATGGTCAGGGGTCCCTTTACCTTTATAAGCAGTAACATTATCATTATGGAATGGGCCGTCTCTATTTTCAACAGAGTTGAATACCAATGTTGGGCGGTATGCTACTATTGCTAATACTAATAGTAACTATGATATTTTGCAGGTTTATCCACAGTCAAGATCAGCATCTGTGTGGACTGCAGTTTGCAAAAAAGGGGAAGGAAATACCTGCCACGGCTGTAGCCTTTGGGGTCCCCATTGCTCTCCTTCCTCCACCATCAGCCTCCTCTTGGATCTCGATGAAAGCGAAGCATGCAAGGCCTGAGCCACAGCGTGAACATTGATGTAAGTGCCATAGCTGTCTAGAAACAGGACTCTCTCAGGCCCCCATTGGGATAACGGCTCCAGTTTCTCCTCCTCTTTGCATCTTATCCTGCCTTTCACGGACAACGAATGCTTTGAATATGAACAGTGAAACGCTTCATCCAAAGAATCCACAAGATTGGACGGTGATTTATAGTTGTCACCTTTGAAAACATTTGAATCAGCTAATAAATGTGGGAAATTGTTGGCCTGGCAAATGAAAAAAAGACAAAAATTAAATACTATTACAAACTTAGAAGTGGAAGGAAAGAATATACACAACCCAATTGAGATTAGAAACTGTTTCCAGAGGTATTTTAAACAATTATATATGCAAGGGCCACAGAAAGAAATGGACATAGACTGATTTTTGAAGACAAATGGACTACAAAAAATCTCTCAAGAAAGTAAATTAATGCTGAACTATAAAATATTTGAATAGGAAGTGGAAGGTGCCATTCAAAATATGCAATTGGGCAAATCTCCAGGACCGGATGGGCTGACTTCTAGATATTATAGATCTTTGAAAGAGTGGTTATTGCAACCTTTGAAGGAAGTCTGCAATGAAATTTTGGAAGAGAAAAGGGCACCAGAGTCGTGGAAAGAGGCGTACATTACACTTATACCTAAAACAGAGACTGAAAAGACTCAGCTCAAGAACTACCGCCCTATATCGTTACTTAATGTGGATTACAAATTTTTTGCAGACATTTTGGCCAAGAGATTGAAAAAAGTATTGATGGAAGAGATTCATAAAGATCAAGCGGGCTTTCTCCCGGGAAGACACTTGTCTGACAATTTGAGGAATATAATTGACATTTTGGAAAAACTAGAAGTGAATATTAACACTAAAGCAGTTCTGATATTTGTGGATGCGGAGAAAGCTTTTGACAATATCTCTTGGAGCTTTTTGTAGAAGAACCTACAGGGGATGGGGGTAGGCCAAGGTTTTGAAAATGGTATAGGTGCAATATACTCTGAACAAAAGGATAAATTAATTGTAAATAATGTGGTGACGGAAGAATTTAAGATAGAAAAAGGGACACGACAGGGGTGCCCAATTTCCCCACTGCTTTTTATATCGGTCCTGGAGGTTTTGCTGAATATGATTAGAAGGGACCGGTTGGTTAAAGGTATACAGGTCGGAGCCAAACAGTACAAACTGAGAGCATTTGCAGATGACTTAGTATTGACGTTACAGGAGCCAGAATCTAGCACTAAAAGGGTTTTAGAATTAATTCAAGAATTTGGTCAAGTGGCAGAATTTAAACTGAACAAGCTAAAAACTAAGGTTTTAGAGAAAAATTTAACTCCGATTGAAAGAGAGAGGTTTCAGAATGAGACAGGTCTGACTGTGGTTAAGAAAGTGAAATATCTGGGGATTAATATGACAGCTAAAAATGGGAACTTATTTAAAGATAATTATGAAAAATGTTGGACCGAAGTGAAAAAAGATTTAGAAATCTGGTCAAATTTGAAGCTTTCACTGCTGGGCCGTATTGCTGCGATAAAAATGAATGTATTGCCTAGAATGTTGTTTTTGTTTCAGACATTGCAAATTGTGGACAAGATGGATTGTTTCAAGAAGTGGCAGAGAGATATTTCTAGATTTGTCTGGCAGGGCAAGAAGCCCAGAATAAAATTTAAGATATTAACTGATGCAAAGGAAAGAGGTGGATTTGCCCTGCCAGACTTTAAACTTTATTATGAATCAGCAGCTTTTTGCTGGTTGAAAGAATGGCTACTTCTTGAAAATACAGACATTTTGGATTTGGAAGGTTTCAACAATGTATTTGGATGGCATGCATATTTATGGTACGATAAGGTCAAAGCACATAAAGCATTTAAAAATCATATTGTCAGGAAAGCACTGTTTAATGTTTGGATAAGATACAAGGATTTATTGGAAAATAAAACCCCTAGGTGGTTGTCACCGATGGAAGCGAAAGCTCTGAAAAGGCTCAATATGGAGGCCAAATGGCCGAAATATTGGGAAATTTTGGAACAAGAAGGAGACAAATTGAAATTGCAGAGTTTCGAGAAACTAAAAATAAAGTGAGAGATTGGCTTCATTATTACCAGATAATGGAGGCATATAATCCGGATAAGAAAATTGGCTTTCAGGTGGAAAAATCAAAATTAGAAACAGAACTGTTAGAACCCAAAACTAAAAATTTGTCAAGAATGTATAACTTGGTGTTGAAATGGAATACTCAGGATGAAACGGTGAAATCTGCTATGATTAAATGGGCACAAGATGTTGGACATAATATTATGTTTGCTGACTGGGAACAGTTATGGATCACAGGTATGAAGTTTATGGCATGCAATGCCCTAAGAGAGAATATTATGAAAATGATATACAGGTGGTACATGACCCCAGTCAAGCTTGCAAAAATCTATCATTTGCCCGATAATAAATGCTGGAAATGTAAAGAAACTGAAGGTACATTCTTTCACCTTTGGTGGACGTGCCCAAGGATTAAGGCTTTCTGGGAAATGATATATAATGAACTGAAAAAGGTATTTAAATATACCTTCTTGAAGAAACCAGAGGCCTTTCTTCTGGGCATTGTCGGCCAATTGGTGCCAAAGAAGGACAGAACTTTTTTATGTATGCTACAACAGCAGCAAGAATACTCATTGCAAAGTATTGGAAGACACAAGATCTACCCACTTTGGAAGAATGGCAGATGAAGGTAATGGACTATATGGAATTGGCAGAAATGACTGGCAGAATCCGAGACCAGGGAGAAGAGTCGGTGGAAGAAGATTGGAAGAAATTTAAAGACTATTTACAGAAATAATGTAAAATTAATGAATGATAGAATGATGTTGGATAGTAACTAAGTGGTTTCTAGCTGTAATGCTTTAAGAGAATATGAAAAAAAGGCTTATAAATGGGTTAAAATCTAATGGTAAGGATTTGCTGAACCAATAAATTGGAGTGGAATACAAAAAAGGGAGGTATGAGGAGGTCCGGGAAACAAGTTAAAGGAAAATAAGTAACTGGAAATATGTGTGTTTTTAATTGTTTTTATTTTGTATTTTTCTCTTTTCTTTTTCATTTTTGCTGTAATATTTCAAAAAACCTAATAAATATCTTTTTTAAAAAAATATAGTTGTCACCTTTGCTGCTCCTTATTCCGGTCTGAATTGCAAAGGACAGAGAACCATGGAGGTACTGGAAGTCATTTGGAGGGATGTAATAGCCAGTTCCGACTTCTGGCAAAGCTGTTGTGATCCAGACTTTTGCCCCTATTTCCTTCTCATATACTATGTTTATTGCCAGGAGTAGCATGATGCCCATTGCATTGGTTACATAGTAAAAAAATACCCCAACTTGTCTCCATAGGAAAAAAGGTTCCCCAGGCCTGATAAATTGATTTAGATCATTTTCTGGTACTCTTTTTGATAAAGCAATGCAGATCCCTTTGCTGAGCATCAGAGGTTTCACAGCGCTCACAAATCTTTCTCCACTGTCATTGTCTGGAGTGCAAAGGCCAATCCACGTCCATCCAAAATGCAGGAGCAATTCAACAATCCCCTGGTACTGACTTTCCTCTTTGGGAGTCATCCGGTAGACAAAAGGGAACAGGGTTTTACCTTCGAGAACCTGGGCAGTGAAGCCATAACTGATCTAGCAAGGAAAGCAAAAGATCAGCAATTTATTTTACTTTCATCATAACGGGTATTTAAACATATGAAATGTCTGATATCTATCTAAATCTCTGCTGGCTGAGGCTGATGGGAGTTTTAGTCTGAAACATCTGGAGGTGTCAAGTTGGTGAAGGCTCAGTTTTGAAAAAGGGATGTTGGATCCATAGCTCAGGATTTCCCCTTTTAAAAAATATCCCCACTTGACCCCTCCAAAGAGAAAATAGAATTTTACGCAGTTGAAATTCTCTTTCCCTCCATGCTCTCCCACTACTTACCTGAGGGATTTTGTAGATGTCTGACACGGCTGAAATCACTCTTGAGATGAAAGTGTTGCTTCTTTCAAGAACAGCCAGCAGGGGATTCTGTTCTCCACAGTGATAATTGGGAACATTGCATCCACTGCCTGCAAGCAGCTCTAGCATGGCGTCTGAAGTCATCTTTGCATCTAAATAGTTCTCATAGAGGTTGTAGCCCAGGGTGATGTTGGGTAAGAGACTGAGATCCTGGTTGATCTCTTGGATGGTGAGCGGGAAAGACAACATGTACGAATAGAGCCTAGCTGACTCCCTGCAACAAATGAATCCTTTTAAAAGAGTGAAACTGATATTCATCTGATGGGGGGGGCATTATATGATCCAAAAAGATTAGTATTTATTGATTAATCCTATTGCATTAATATCAAACCATTTACAGTCTAGTATAGAATAAAAATAAATAGAATAAAGACATGCTGGCCACATGACCCGGAAGTTGTACGCCGGCTCCCTCGGCCAATAAAGCGAGATGAACGCCACAACCCCAGAGTCGGCCACAACTGGACCTAATGGTCAGGGGTCCCTTTACCTTTACCTATAGAATACAAATTTGCAGATCTCTGCTCCATGACCGAAGCTTTGATGCAAACAGCACACAGAGCTGTTCAACAGTGGAACAGACTCCCTCCGAAGGTGACCATGTGTCATGGTCTAAGAGCCTGAGATCCTGGTTGATCTCTTGGATGGTGAACAGGAAAGACAACATGTACCAGTAGAACCTAATTGCCCTCCTGCAATAAATGAATTATTTAAAAGAGTGAAACTGATATTCATATTAATGGGAGGGAGGAAACATTATATGATCCACAAAGATTAATATTTATTTATCATTTTACATTAATATCAAACCTTTTCCTGTCTAGCATAGAACAAAAATTTGGAAATCTCTGCTCCATGACCGGAGCTTTGATGCAAACAGCACACAGAGCTGTTCAGCAGTGGAACAGACTCCCTCCGAAGGTGACCATGTGTCATGGATGCTTCAGGTGAGATTCCTCCAGGTCCCTTCCATCTCTACAACTCTATGATTCTTTACTACTGTGGTTCTATGAGTAAGAAATGAAGGCACCCCTCAAAATGTGTGCTATACTGGGAAGTTGCTTCAAAGCCTGCTTTTCCTGCATTGGTCTTTGGCTTCTTCCAAGGGGCTAGACTATAGGTAGATAAGAGACAATTTTATTGAAGGAGGGGAAGCACCAAATACCTCCGTCCCCTTTTAGTTACAATTGAGGTCTCGTGGCTTTCAGGTTTGAGTGCGTGGTAAAACCTATAATTTTGCACATGTTTTTCATCAGTGACTCCACCAGTGAGGACACACCCTGATCTGTGTTATTCCATATAATCATTTTATTTGAAGCATATCATTCCTGCTCTTCACCCATAGAAATACAAGCATTTTCAAGAGTTTCTTAAAACGCTTCTAATTTTTTGAAAAAAACAGTGACAGAAAGGGAAAAGTGCTGGGATTGGAGGAGGAAACCTTTAATGTAGCTCAGACGGATTTCCCCATGGTGGGCTGTAGGCCTCCTGTTCCATCGTGTTAATAGAACTGTGATAAGGTTGGGATAGGAAACAGGTACCTATGGATTCCAAGTGAAGAAACATCAAACATCTCACTACTTAGAAATGAGGCCAGTTGTTTGTGTGTGAGAAAAAGGAATAATTCCTTTTCACATTTTAGAGACCTGACTCCATGAAAAGGAAGTCTCCTGATTCATATTATTTATCATTTCAATTAAAGCACATCTTTCCTGCTCTTCAGCCACCAAACGTCACCCAGAGGATCTTAAAATTCCATTTGTAAAACTGTAACATGGAATAATATTGAATGAAACCTTTGAGCCTTGGAAATTGCCTGAGTTTCATGGCATCCTGCAGGTGGGGAAATTCAGTGCATCCTTTTGACCCCTGACCAGATTCATTGGCATCCTTGCATTCTACTAAAAGCAACACAGAAAAGGTAGGAGAGTGTTTCACTAAGGAAGACCCAGAGAACATGGAAATAGGAGAGGTTTGTGTGGAATCTTTTAGTAGACACCCCCAGCTCCCATCACCCCCAGCCAGCAAGCCCAATGGTTAAGGGCAGGGTAGTACAGCAACATCAGCCCTTGGCTCCCCAGCCCTGAGATAGGGGCTATTTCCTTGATAAATAGGAACCACTAGAAGGACTGGAGGACCATGAAACTGTGAAGTACATACTTTTCAATCCTGGCGAAGGGTGTCTGAGAAAAGACGTATGGAGTTTCCTTATAAAAGCGTTTTGGAGAGATGATCCCACTGATGAGAAAGTGTCCCGGCCGGTAGTAATTGCGAGCATCCGTTTCATCCCTGACCAGATTCAAGGGGCATTTCGCCTTGTGGTTCCCGCAGACTCCAAAGGGCATCATGAGCAGCAGAAGCAGCAACAGAAGGAGCAGGGATCTCATTCTGGCTCTGCCTCCTCCTCCTCCTCTTACCTGCCAAGGAGGCAAAGCAGAAGAACCCAAAGACTCTTGCAAGACCAGGCTGGGTGGGCTTTCCCAATCTGGGTGGTTTTCAACTATACCTTCAGAGCTGTGAAGCACAAGGCAGGCAGCTCTGCATCTTGACTCAGTCTGTCTCCAACAGAGGAAATAATCTCTGCACTAACTTTTTCTTTCCCAGTCACAGCACAATTAATATATTCATGCTACTTTCTGAGGCTGATGTAACCTCCAGAAATATCTCCTGAGCATTTAGAAGATGAGATGACTATAATTTTGATTACTCCAAGTGGAATAAGTTTCATCACACTAACTTTCTGGAGTCTTGAACGGCTCAGGCAGCAGGTGCAGAGCTGGAGAAAAACATGATGATGAAAAGTCAAAAGGTGTTTTTGGGAATTGGAAGTTTGGCCTGAACTTTGCTCCCAAGGACCAACGAAGAGCCCTGCATCTGCATCCGACCATGGACTCTCCTTCCTTGGAGCTTTTTAAGTTTGGATGGCTAGCTGTTAGGGATGCTTTAGAGAGCCAGTGTGGTGTAGTGGTTAAGAGCGGTGGACTCGTAATCTGGGGAACCGGGTTCGCTTCCCCGCTCCTCCACCTGCAGCTGCTGGGTGACCTTGGGCCAATCACACTTCTCTCGTCTCTCAGCCTCACTCACCTCACAGAGTGTTTGTGGTGGGGAAGGAAGGAAATGGAGATTGTTAGCCACTTTTGAGACTCCTTAGGGTAGTGATAAAGCGGGATATGAAATCCAAACTCTTCTTCTTCTTCTAGTTGGCCACTTTGGGTGGATTTGATTCCTGCCGCTCCCTTCTGGTTCTCCCCCTGAAGGGAAGTAGCATGTTGGTGGTTTTGAAGCAACTTCAAGTGAATTTCCACCCCATCTTTGAAAGGCTTCTCCAACAGAGGGAAGCTCTCTGGGGTTGGTGGAGGGGAGAAAGGTTGCTCTGAGCCTCAGGCTCTCCCTTCCCCTTTGACATGTTCTGCGGAAGGAGAGCGTCTGTTTCACATGGAGCCTACTTGCTCCTCGTCTTTGAGAAGAAACTTCTCTACTCATAAACAAATTGTGTGCGCAGAAGCCAGGCTAGCATTCTAGCAGCTTTATTATTCTTTATCAATTTATTTATTAATATTTATTTACTTTCTTACTTAATTATTTAATCTTTCATAAATTCCATGCACTATTTTGGCCAATCACCCCTAGAGCGCTTTACGTCAAGATAAGTCAGGATGATCATAACAAAGTTTACAGTCTTACTTTAGAACATTCCAAAAGTTAAAATAATAAAACAGAATCAAATTACCTCAACTTCCTAAGAATCTGGGTGGATGCTTTCTTTATTACATTAAAAAAAGTTTAAAAATTATTAAGTCTCCACAGATATTCCAATCACTTGTCTTCGTATACAGTTTAAAAAAACAAACAAAAACCCCCACGTAATTTCTTCTTGACTCTCCACCCTCCCTTCTCTATGTTTGTTTTTATTACTTCTTTTTATCAGAATTTTTTAAAAACATGTTTTTATTATCAAAGCCCCAATGACGTATTTCAGTAATCCGCTGCTTATATTTCAAATCCTGCCTTTGACTTCATGTATGGATGATAGTTTGACAAATAAGATATCAATGGTCTCCATTCTTCCTGAAAAGATTCATCCTCATGTCCTCTTAGTTTAGCAGGTAATTTCACCATTTCAGCATATTCCCCCAGTTTCATAAGCCAATCCTCCCTCTTTCCACTTCTGTGCATATAAAGTTCTAGCTGCTGTGGTTGCATACATAAATAACCCAGTCAGCTTTCTTGGGACCTTTAATTATTAAATTCATATAGGAGCCTTCATTGGATTGCTACAGGTTGAATTGCTATAAGAATAAGTGTTTAGTAAGCTTTCTACTAATCTGGAGAGATGGAAGTCTAAGTAGGATGCAATTTTAGCTAATGAATCTAAATGCTTTATCAGTGGCTGTTCTGTCAATTATTTTCACTTCCCATCTGATCTTGTTGTTGTTGTTTAGCCGTTTAGTCGTGTCCGACTCTTCGTGACCCCATGGACCAGAGCACGCCAGGCACTCCTGTCTTCTGATCTGATCTTGGTTTTGCTCTATAAATGGGGGTCTGAATGGGAGGAACCTTGAGTAGAAGGAGGAAGCCTCTCGCTCTTCCTTCCTGACTGAGCATAAGATGCCTCCTCTTAAAAGGTTTGGCAGGCAGGGAATACAACTATTTGGCATCGTCTAATTTCTCCCTCCAATGCTGAACTTGTTGCTTGCTCACTCGTAATCTGGTGATCCACTCAACATCAGTGCACATCAGTGCACAAGGTGTCAGATCCAGGCAATGGAATCTGAAATGTGATTTCCCAAATTTCAGAATTCGAATAATCTCTCAACCACAAATTAAGACCAATTTAATACAAATTGGTTCCCTTCCCTCTGTTAAGAGGCATGCAAGGTTTCTTCTTACCGCTGATTTATTTTCCTAGTTATTTCTAATTCACATGCCGTTCCTTTCCGTTAACCTTATATTACAATAGGTTTGGGTTGTGTTTTTTTTTTAAGAAAAGCTTATCATCCTTAACAATCAGCTGTCAACTTGACAATTCCTGCACGTAAATTATTTTACCATTTGCAACATCTAAAAGTGAGCTTACTCCACAAATTTTAAAAATCCACAATAAATCAGTAATTATCGGGGGGGGGCGCTAGGGGCGCCTTGGAAGATGGCTGACAATACCATCTATCCAGCTTGCACGAGGTAATTAGAGGCTGATTATGGGGAGTAAAATCAGTCTCCCTCATCTGCTGCCCTCGCCCGCGGATGCCATAAATGACCCCCAAGTTCGGATGAAGGAGGGGGTGAGAGGCACTGGGCGGAAAGTCCTCGAAGAGGCTTGGAGCTCCCTGAAGCTGCTTTCAGGAGCGAATCTGGTTGCGTTGCTTAAAAAGAAGAAAAAATCGGAGAAGTAAACGCACATTCCTCAAGAGAGATCAGGAGTGTTTTTATCTGCTAATAATTTTACCACTGAGATGAAGAAGATCGGGACGGCAGGAATAGAGATAACATCAGAGAATCGCAGACATGTTGGTAGGTGGAACGGAACGGAACGGAAAGGGGGAAAGACTTTTTACTTTTTTATGTGATTAATTTAATAACCCTCCACCTTAAAGAACCGTCTCTGTTTTTATCTGCTAATAATTTATGAAGAAGATCGGGATGGAAGGAACAGAGATAACATCAGAGAATTGCAGACATATTGGTAGGTGGAAAGGAACGGAAAGGGGGGAGGAGACTTTCTACTTTTTCATGTGATTAATTTAACAACCCTCCCCCTTAAAGAATCGTCTCAACGACTAACTTGCAAGAGGGGTTAAAAATGAACTGTGTGGGGGGGAAATAATATGAATTAACGGTTTTATTCTGTGAAAGATTTGGAAAAGAAAAGAGGCTCTCTCTGTGACGCAGCAAGAAATGTGACTTGATATGGACAGGCAGACCTTCGCTGCATGATATATGGTCTTAGGGAGGAAGAGCCGTGGATTGGTTATCAATTTGGGATCGTAAATTTGAAAGGCTATTACCCTCCTGGAGGACTAATTTACGATGCAGCGGGTCTGGAAAGTTAATGAGCGGACATTTAGACTGTATTTCATCGGAGGCAAGATGGCGATGTCTGCTCGAATGAATGCCTGGACTATTGGATTTCTGTGAGAGATCTATGAGAGAGCATTACAAAGCCCACACAGAGATATAAACAAGATTGTTTCTTTCAATCCACTTGTGGAGAGAACTCGGTGACAGAAAAGGAAAATGAGTAACGACAAAGAGTTAAGAAGATGGGACTGAAAACATCATTGTAAACATGAAAGCAGCAGAAATATAGATGATTGGACTCCGGCCGATCACGAAGCATGGGTATCCCCCACAAAAATTTATAATTTGGAAAACATTTGGACTTTATGATGTGTATTGATACAATTTGGACAAATTGGTATTGTAATGGTTCTAGGGGTTGCTCGTGCGTAAGCCGGTGCAAACACCTGGCTGGATTGCCTGAGTGAACCTTTTCTGTCTGGACAGCCACTCACCCGTGGCTGTCTCAATCGCTGGCCGAATCCGTCAGTGGGCGTTTCTTAAACTTCTTCCAGCAAAGAAGCTCTTTGACGCCTAGTCTCCTCCTACTTTCTCTGCGCGAAAGTCTTCTGCGCAAGGAGGGCGTAGGCAGCGGAGGAGCTCTACTCTCCCCGCTGGTCCCCGGCAAGGAGTCATGGGACCGCCTCGCCGCTTCCCCCATCTGCCCCCCTTCTCCACTGGTGCTACGCTGATTCTCTTCCCCAGAAGATGGGCTGCCTCTCCCAATCCCGGGACGCTCTCCGGAATCCCTCTGGATTTTGCTCTCTCCCTCCGGCACTGATGGCAGTTCCCTGACAGGTATGATATGTTTAATTTGGTAAATGGAAACTTAATAAAAATTATTTTAAAAAATCAAAAAAATCAGTAATTATCATTTCTAAAATAAATTACTTCCCATCCTTCTGCATGAATGAAAGCCCAATAGTTCATTTTTACTAGGCATTTCCCCTTTTCTTCTTAATTGCATAGTCCATTCAATCAAAGATTCTGTCCAAAATTCTTAAATTCTCAGTTTAGATCTGAAATAAATTGTGTCTTGTCTAAGGACCTCTGGTTTCTATCTTTTCTTTGAGCATCCCAAATTGCCCTCCTATCTCAGCTGCTGTTGAAAGAAGGAGTGGTGGTTGTAGCTGTTATTGGACGGTCAAGACAAAATTGGTCAACCTGATATGGTCATTTTGCAGTGGTTGTTCAAGGAAAAGCATAATCAGGAGCTCCTAGCCTTCTCCCTCTGTGATTCCCCCTACCTTGTTGAATTTCTTGTTCCACTCATAGAATCATAGAATCATAGAGTTGGAAGAGACCACAAGGGCCATAGAGTCCAACCCCCTGCCAAGCAGGAAACGACTCAATGGCTTCTGGGTTAATGGTGAACTTTATGCCAGCAGCCATCTCTCTCCTTATATTCCCAATTTTCACAAGGT